TCAACATGCTTACCTTTGTATTGATATATGTGTTTAAGCTCTCACTGCCTTTTTTTTTTAAATCTCTTGGGCTGTCTTTTAGCTGTTTCTAATTTATTTCATCAACTTTACCTAAATAATCATAATCACCATGTTTAACTAAGGGTCCAACAAATAGCATTCTGCTCCTTGGATGAGGATTTGAAAACCCAGCTGTGAGTGTCTAATTGGGATGAATTTTTAAAAATGTCAACCAAATATTCTCACTGAGGCAAAAGAACTCTCCATTGCGTTAATGGGATTTACTCGTGTCTAGCTGTGACTACAACATGGGCACTTGTTTTTATATTGGTCTCCCACTGTACTATTTTTTTGTGCAATTCACCCAGGGACAGCGGAGATGAAGAGGGGGCTGGCGATCCTAACTATATTCTAGCCAGAAAGTGCAGAAAATGGACTACATTTATACTGGTGCTACAGATCACCTCCTTCTTAGTGCAAGAAGCCGTGACACACCTGACTTCTCTGTGATAACCTTCACCTCAAAGGAGCAATTCAGCCCTGCATTACTGTCAAAGCCAAGTCTGTAAAAAATGCTCATTTGTCTGAAGTGACTCACTTATCTGTATAGAAACCGATCTCCGAATGGAGGTGAGCTATGCAATTGTCATAGCTCCGCTGGTGTCCCTGAGCCACCGTGAAGAGAGAGAAATATTTTCATAGATTTAACAACAGAACAAGAAGAAAAAAAAAAAGGGAGGGGGGACGTACAAATTTAAGATCTGTTGACATTAATGTTATGATTGTTCATGAGGTTTAGTACAGTGACAAAGATTGTTTGATCTATTCATGAATAATTTGAAAGACATTCTCAGTAATGACTCAATAAATGCCCCAGAGACATTACTCAGGCTAGTAAAAACTTCAGGGCTCTGAAAATTTTAAGAAAAAAAACATTAAAAAAAAAAAAGCCCACCTGGAAAAGACACCAATAGATTTTGTACAATGGTAGTTGCACCAAATGAATTCATAATGGAAGAAAAAAGTAGGGTAAACTTTTCACACATATACAACAGACATTAAAACCAATTGAGTCATCAGTGGCTAAAGATCACTTGCTCAGCTTTGGTCATGAGCTAAGAGCATGTTTTTTTGTATCAATGACAAAAAAGAAGTTATAAATTAATCGTGGCTGCTCATGATGATAACTGAATTCAGTTTCGTCCATCACATCAGGAACATAATTTTATTTTCTATGTCTGTCTGAGCTTTTTCTGCTTCAGTTATGCTACTGTAGGCTATGGGAATATAGTTGCCAAAAGAGAAAAGATACAGAGATGGAGAACAAATTGGTTAAGACAGACCTGCAAGAGACTGGCATAGGAAGAACCAACTGGGAGAGGATAGGGACATTTGAAAAGGTGAACTACATGAAGTAATGCAAATGTAACAGAATGTTTATTTTCCAGTGTTTTGTGTCTTCAGGCAATTATTAGCAACGCTTAGCAACACTTCCAAAAGAAGCAGACATTTAGGGAATGAAAATACCAGCTAGTACTCCAGTAGGCGAGCGAGACAGTTGCAAGCAATCTCAATCTTTACGTGGCAAGGTGCTAACTCATTATTTGCTGGGGTGGGAAGGATTCTAGCCTCTTTTCCTCGCACTCTGCAGTATTTTGCCAAAGAGATCAGGGACTACAGAAATTCTGAAACGTTAGACATGGATGACTGTCCTCAATTGGATTAAATGCATTTCTCATGTATTTCCTGCACAAAGGGTATAGACATTGGTCTGGCTTTGGCAGAGCTGGGGAGGCCAGTTCTCTGCTCCCCACCTCCCTTGATGGCAGAGGAGTGCACAGGGGGGGAAGAAATCAGCTACCCAGCTGGCATGGCCGTCCTGGTTTCTGGCAGGCTTCACCACATTTATTTGCACTGCAGAAAGTTACTTTTAACCAGCTGAGCTATGAAAGCCTTTTCTTCATGCGGCAGAGGCCAGATGTTTCCAAACCAGCCTGAACCACAGTGTTTGCTGTGAACTCAATGGGGATGGAAGCAGCAGCCTCACTGAAAGCAAATGACTCTAGTTCACCCCCATGAGAAACAACTGATCCTTCTGAACTCAACTCTGTGCTCAGAATACAATGGTCACCTAAAAAAGCAGCAGTGCCATGGCATTCAGCAGAAAACACTGGCCGTTTGGCACTGAGCTGGCATACAGCTCTTGGAGCAGTGCTTTTGAGTGGTAACCCCCTCTGTTCTCATAACTCAATTCAGACATCACCATTTTTTGCAAGCACCACCCAGCGAACCAACTTCTACTTTATGTTTTCACCTTCTGAAATATTCTCTCCAGTTCAGAAGAAAGTCTTTGGAGGTTCTTAATATTACAGCCAGTTCTACACGACTCACAAGTGGAACAGATTTAGATACCTCATCACTGAAATTAAAATGAAGCCAAGAGAAAAGCACAAAGTCTCTGAGGCAGCAGAGAACTGAAAAGAAAGAATTGTTTTATGTCATCATTTTTAGGTGATTTTCCACATATATGGAGGCTTCACAACAGCTTCTTTATGTTATTCCGTAAGAAGTGTTTATTTTTTTACAAAGCTGAAAGCTTCCTATATGAAGAATAAATAAAAAAAAACATAGAAATAATCCCTAATATTAATAATACTGAGGTACTTTATACACGTTAACACTTCTTGTCAATCTGATTTATGAGACTATTTTTAGAATCATTTGCATGTGATACTAAAAAAATAAATAAATAGGAGATATTCCACGCATGCTGCTGAAGAAGGATCATTGCCTGTATCTGTTTTTGCAAGAATATCCAGTTTGGTTCCTCCATCAGGAACCATTTAAAAGCAACACACCAAGCTAAACCGCATACCATTCTTCCAGAATCCTAATTTTTTCATCTTTACTGAAGATTCA